TTCACTTAGTGACAGTTGTATAGATCCGTGAGAGCTTGGTGGACTTCGCCTTGAACCAGTCCCATTTATCGGATTTCTACAGAAAGCACACATAGTACAGTCTTGAAGAATTCTAAACGGGTTGCGCTATTATCGGCCTTGCGCAGGTATCTTTCATGTGTGTTACTAGGGAGCAGCCCTGATCCCATAGTCGCGGCCTCACAACTACACACATATAGGTGAATCCTAATAAGGATGCGAGCAAGTAAGCATCCTGCCTCATGGGTCTTGGATTCATTAAGAGTTAGACTCAACCTTTCACTTGCTTTTTATGAGCACTGATCACCCTAGGGATGGGAGCAAATAAATTCAGTGCTCCTCACAATTAATCACTCATTCAGTTTGTTTCTACCCATTGAACCTCTGCGAGGTTGGGTTGCCACTGCAGTGATTTTTCTTATGGGCTTAACCCCATCCCCCTCGATGATTCTAGGACCACTGCCCTAGATAAGCCTTTAGTTAAGTGATCTGCAAGATTTTTCTCTGATCTTTCAAAATCTAAGGCTATTATATGGTTTTTCATCTTATATCTCAAGGATTTATGTCGCACTTTCAAGTGTCGATTAATCTTCACATTTGCATTCTCTTGATGGCATTTGTCAATCGCTGACCTGCAATCACAATGAATAGAAATACCTGGTAATGGTTTTTGCATTAGTGGAGTTTTAGTTAGTAAAACTTTCAACCATTCAGCTTCTATACTAGTAGTATCAAGATCTATCATTTCTGATTCCATTGTACTTCTAGCCATTACAGTTTGTTTAGTAGATTTCCAGGACACAGCTCCTCCTCCTAAAAGGAACACAAATCCTGTGGTGGATTTTACAACTACGGAGTCACTAATCCAATTTGCATATGAATAACCTTCTAGTACAGATGGATAACCTTTATAGTGTAAACCATAATTTATAGTTCCTTTTAGGTATCTCAAAATTCTTTCTAAAGCATCCCAGTGACTATTATCAGGATTTGATGTATATCTACTAAGTCTGTTTACTGCATAAGCAATGTCAGGTCTGGTGTAGTTTGTTAGGAATCCTAATGATCCAATTATTTATGCATATTCTCTTTGTAATTGAGGATGACCTGTATTTTTCTTTAGATATACATTAGGATCATATGGAGTGGAAACAGGTTGACAGTTTGGATCATAAAAATTCTTGAGGATTTTCTCTATGTAGTGTAATTGTGATAGCACATACCCATTCTCATTTTTCATGATTTTAGTATTAAGAATTAAGTCAGCTTGACCTAAATCTTTCATGTCGAATTTTTGTGATAAGAAATGTTTGATATCATTTATGATTTGTATGTCAGAACCAAAAATAAGAATATCATCAACATATATGCATAATATCACAATTTTGTTATTATTATCTATTTTATGATATACACACTCATCTGTTTGATTAATTACAAATCCATAAGAGAGTATAATTTCATCAAATTTCATGTGCCATTGTTTTGGAGCTTGCTTGAGGCCATATAGTGATCTAATAAGTTTGCATACTTTCTTTTCTTGTCCAGAAGCTATAAATCCCTCAGGTTGATCCATATAAATTTCTTCATCTAAGTCTCCATTTAAAAATGCAGTTTTAACATCCATTTGATGTATTATTAATTTGTGAATGGATGCTAGAGCTATGAGGACTCTAATGGTAGTAATCCTAGCTACTGGAGAATAGACATCAAAATAATCAATACCAGATTTTTGGGTATATCCTTTAGCTACTAATCTGGCCTTATATTTATCTATTGTTCCATCTGGTCTGAGTTTCTTCTTAAATACCCATTTACATCCTATAGTTATACAACCTGAAGGAATGTCAGTTAGTTCCCAAGTATGATTTTGAACTATAGATTGAATCTCATTATTTATAGCTTCCTTCCAAAATGGAGCATCTACTGATTTCATTGCATATTCAAATGTAATTGGAGAATCTTCTAAAAGTAATGCGTATAAATCTTCATGGACATTTTCTATTCTAGTTCTTTTACTTCTCCTAGGCTCCTCTAGTCTTTCTAGAGGTCTAATTTGTTTAGAACTAGTTTCACCTTGATTAGAACTAGGATTTGAATTACTAGAGCTAGGGCCTGTGTTGTTTATTCTGGTTTTGTAAGGAAAAATATTTTCAAAGTAATGTGCATCCCTAGCTTCAATTATGGTGTTGTTGGCTATCTCATTAATGTCAGAGTTGATTATTAAAAATCTATTTGCATTACTATCAGAATCATAGCCAATAAAAATTCCATCTACAGTTTTAGGGCCAATCTTCTTTCTTTTATTCTCAGGTATTTTGACTATTGCTAAGCACCCCCACACTTTTAGGTGATCTAAATTAGGGTTTCTATTCTTCCAAATTGTATAAGGTGTTTTATCAGAATTTTTGAATGGAATTCTGTTTAGTATATGGCAAGCAGTCATGAGAGCTTCTCCCCACAGGTTTTCTGACACACCAGAATTAATTAACATTGAGTTTACCATATCCATTAATGCTCTATTCTTTCTTTCAGCTACTCCATTAGATTGAGGTGTATATGTAGCAGTTATTTCATGAATGATTCCATTCTCTTCACAAAATTGTTTTAGTTCATTAGAAGTGTACTCACCACCTCTATCTGATCTTAGTATTTTAATTTTCTTATCCAATTGATTTTCTACTTCTGCTTTATATATTTTAAATTTGTTTATCACTTCATCTTTGGTCTTAATCAAATAGAGATAACAATATTTAGAACAATCGTCTATGAAAGTTACAAAATACTTGTTACCTCCTCTAGATGTTCTTCCAGAATCACAGACATCACTATGGATGAGTTCTAATACCTCAGAATCTCTATCAACAGTTTTAAATGGTTTCTTAGGAAGTTTGGCTTCTACACATATTTCACATTTTTCATCATCTTTTATATTAAGCTTTGGAATTATATTGAGATGCATCAATCTTTTAATTGAATTATAATTCACATGTCCTAATCTTTGATGCCAGGTGATGGAAGGTTCAATATTTAAAGCCATTGGAGATGTAAAAGCAGAATTCTTAACATTCAATTTAAAGAGACCATCACATAAAAAACCTTTTCCAATGAAGTTCAATCCCTTAGTTATTACAACTTTATTTGATTCAAAAACAAGTTTGTAGCCTTGTTGCACTAATAAAGATCCACTAATCAAATTTCTCCTAATGTCAGGTACATGGTGGACCTCCTGCAGGATCAAAGTCTTATCAGAAGTCAGCTTTAGGTTGATCCGACCAATTCCAGATACAGGAGCCACATTATTATTTCCCATTGTCACAGTTCCTCTACTTGAGACCTGATAGTTGGAAAACAAAGATTGATTAGAGCAAACATGAATATTAGCTCCAGTGTCAATCCACCAATCATTTGCTTGAAAGGTCATGTTTACTTCAGGAGTGAAGAGAACAGACCTGAAAGCAGTCTCAGCTGGACTGGAAGTCACCATGTTTACTTGTGACTTATTAGGTGGAGGCCCTCCCTTCCTAGGCTTGGGTGGTTCAGTTTTCTTGAAAAAACAGTCCTTTGCAAGATGGTTGGTTCTTCCACAAACGAAGCAGGCTCGACGTTCAGCTCCTTCCTTCTTTTGAAAGTGAACATGGTTCTTATTTTGATGATAGGGTTTCTTCTTAAATGTTTTATTTTGATTTTGGTGGAAGGGACGTTTCTTGTGTTGGGGAAAGGGTTTGGATTCAACATTGTTTACTTTGGGTTCTTTGGGTTCAGATTTTGTCACATTTTTCTCCCTGAGTCTATGTTGCTCTTCAATTCTAATAGAATTCAATACTTGCTCTAGTGTAAGATCTCTTGGGTATGGTTAAGATTTTTGGCAAAATCTGACCAGGACTCGGGAAGTTTGTCTATAAGACAGGCTATCTGAAACGTTTCATCTAAGATGGATCCATTCACTTTTAATTGGTGAACTATATGTTCAAATTCATGAATTTGCTCATTCATTGGTTTAGAATCTACCATTTTAAATTTGTTAAAATCAGAAGCTTTAAATCTTTTAATTCCCATATCATCTAGACCATACTTTTTCTCTAAGGTTTCCCACATCTAGATGAGGATGAATTATCTGGTTCTATGGCTGTTATTAGATGTAGAGTTGTTAACCAAAATCTCATTTGGTTTTGCCAACGACGGAAATTGTTCCCATCAAACTTTTCTGGTTTAGCAGACATAATTTCACTTGTAGCCATAATCTGATGAGGAATGAATAATTTTGTTATTTTAATGCGACAAAAATATATAAAGCATTCATGTTGTGTGCGCGCGCCACCCGACCCGAGCCCGAGCCCGGCCCGGCCGGCGCGCGCGTGTGTGGTGTGGAGCATAACCTTTGTTTTCTTCTAGGCATAGGAGAGAAAGGGAAGGCTTATAAAGAGCCTATCTTCCCATCTCTTTTCCAATGTGGGACTAAAGTTTTCCTCATTTCCTCTACAAACCCAAGTTTTAAGTTATCTTTATTATATAACTCCAACAGTCTAAAGCATTCTTCATGCTTTGTTACTATTGTCAAAGTATATATCGTATCAGTGTGATGAGGACATTTGACCTACTAAAAAGCTATATGGTATTTCAAGTCCAGCCTTCTTGAGCCCACTTCTATTATCAGCCGACTAAATAAATAATAACACACCATTCTATCAAAACATAGAGAATAAAGATCATCCAAATTCTTCATGATCACTTCCCTTCCACTAATAAACAAATATTATCAATAGATATTTGTCATTCCACTACCCTAATTGCTGCACTAAACCACAATCACTTACCATCAACCCATCAAGTGGGCACTTACCAGGCCAAAGTAATAATAAAAATAATAATAATAGTAATAGTAATAATAATAATAATAAACTATTAGAGTATATGTTTCACATGGTTTTTCTGTCCTACCATTATCACCCTCATTTCACTATAAAAACCGATATAGGGAAGGTTAATGCTCATTACCAAACAAAGGAAAAAAACATTCACCAAATTCCATGGCCAGCCTTAGCCAGCATCTCAAGGACAACTTCTTCTATCTCCTTGAACTAGTCAGAGGTACTGTCAGCAACAAGAAGAACTGTGAAGCAAAAGGTAGAGAAGGAGACCAACAATGAAACTTATCCTAACTCTTATCTCCTCCTGTAATTAACTTAGTTTTGCATGAATTGTCTTTTGTTTAAGGAACAGAATGCGAAGAGGAAACCCAGGCGGTATCTGTTACCGTGAAGGTTGCACTCTATTTCTTTTTCTTCTTTCATTAGTTACTGTTTGTTTCTGGGTTCATTGCGCTTTAATATCCTAAAGTTCTATCCATTTTTGACTTTGATATTACCTTGAAGTTTAAGCATATGAAAAAGATATCCAAAAGTTTTTAAGATGTAGTTTCCCGATATCCAAAAGTTTTTAAGATGTAGTTTCACCGGTTTACAGAGTGGATTTATATCTTAGTGAATAAAAGGTTTAATGTTTTTAATTTCAAGTAGTCTACCACTAAATCAGTGAGGGAAGTAAAAAAAGGGATCGGCCCACTTTTTAGGTCATATTAAAGTCTGAATAGTATCATGTTATAATTATGTGAAGCATTTCAAATTGAGTTCTAAGCTGCAATATTATATCTCGGAAGGTGTCAAAGTTAAAGGTGGATGAAACTTTGGGGTATTTTTTGGGGCAGATTTAAACACCAGAGTATCAAAGTTTAAAATTGGGTTTTTTTCAAGAACCATCTTTTAAATAAGGGTCATTTTATATAGAAGCCACTTTTGATTTATAATTTATACATAAACCAACTTTAAAAGGGTTTTTTGTTGCAATAGACCACATCCGTCTACTTTTTAGGTTAGGTTTTTTCATAAATTGAACCCACCTAACCTAACCCTTATTAAGGATCATCTTTCTATTACACTGGGGTATTTGATAGTTAATTATCACAACAAATCTGAGAAAACATGACTTAGAAGTGAATCCAGGTGGTTGATTGCAACAAAAAGCTGTTTAAGGGTGTTTTATGTAGAAATTGAAAAATTAAATGTGGTTTCAATAAAATGACCCTATTTTAAAGGTAGTTAATTTGTAAGAAAAAGAAAAAATCTCATTGGTGAAACTTAAGGATATTAAGGTCCAATAGCAGGAAGAAAAAAACCTAAATCTTCAACATTTGTTGTTTTTTTTAACTTGGGTTATTTCTGATTGATGTTTAGGAAAGGGGAATCCTTAAATTAAACAGAGGCCTTGCACCTCCTGGAGTTCAAAAAGGTCCGCCACCTGAGCACAACTAAAGTATTACGCACGCACCTACAGTTTGCTTGCATCTTCTAAATGCTATTGTATTATATCGTGGTTTGATCTACGTACGTGCTAGTATTGTGTGACTAGTGTCTTCATGATTAAGGATGAGGAATAGAGATTGAAGAGGCAAGAGGTACTTTTAAAATGTATATGAGATGGTGAGGTAGTAGTCCTGTCATCATTTGTTCTAAGGAAAAGAGCTTGTTGTATTATATGTGGAGGTTTGAATGTATTACTACTATGATGAAATAATTAAATTACTAAATTGAACTCACTTTGAGCTTAAATGTATCTGGGCGTTCATATTAATCAGACAAGTGGATATTTATGTCCGTTGGATCTCACTGTATATTATTACAGAGCGAGCTATATTGCAGAGCATAGAAATCTATCATGGAGTATATCATCTCAGCACAAGAAAGAGGTCGTATTCAACAAAACCATTCTTGGTTCTCCGCAAATCCAAACAAGTATAATAAAAAATTCTTGAAATATCTGAAAATTCTCATTGTTGTCTAATGATAACTCTTATCAGGACAATACATATATGTTTTTACCAGATTTTCGGATAGAATAGTGGCTTAAAAAGAAAATAAGGCAGAACCAATGCTCAGCAGAAAAGAATAACTAACAAACAATAAGAAGAAATAAATCATGCAAAAACACAAGGAATTTATTAATAAAGGAGCACGAAAGTGATAATAAACCTTAAAATCCACCAAAAGGTGCTCTTTCAATACATAAAGAACTCAATACATAAAGAACTTTGAATCCATGAAGAAATTTATTAAGAGGAATTTTAATGATAAAATTGATCTAATAATTATAGAGTTACATACCTCTTCTTAAATAGAAAAAATAAAATAGACTCCTAATAAGATAAAACTTCAAAGAAATAGTAAAGTGTCAAATCATACCCTGAAAAGACTTCCTTTAATTGAAGAAACAAATCATGAATTAAAATTAAATTTGTTTTCTAATTTAAATTGACTCTAACTTTATTACTAAAAATAAATTATAAAGTACCGTTTTTTTTATAGTAAATGAAGTTATTGAGTGTTGTAACTATAATTAATATGGGAGTTTAGAAATCCAAAATCCATAGAAACTATAAAAAAAACCTAAAATCCCCAAAATCTTCAGTTTACGAAAAAAATGAAAAGGAAGTGAGACCGGTTAAGGGGAAGAAGGAGAAAGATCAGAGATTCTAACATGTTAGTTTTTTTATGGTTTATTTTGCATACATATTAAAAAAAACTCGTACCTTTTTCCAGCCACCGGCGCCATCTCCGACGTCATCGATCCGTGGAACTCCGGCCATCCACGGTCGTGGGTTTCACCGGTGATGACCCCTATGGCCGCTGAACCCAAGAAAATCCATTTGGGTTCATAAGCAGTTAAATGGAAGAGGTAAGAGGAAGATAAAAGGAAAATTATCCAAGGCCCCTTAGAGTTTTGAGAATTTATTTTTTAAGTCCAAAACATATGAAAGGATATTTTCTACATGAAATCGATTTAATGGAAAAAGTTTCCTTTTGACCCACTAAACTAGAAAAGTTACTGTTAGGCCACAGTTCTGTTTAAAGAAGGGTAGAATTAAATTTCAGAAAAACCCCTAGAAACTAGATATATTAGTTTTATACCGAAAATAGTTTGAGTTTAGAATCTTTAGTTTTTATGCATCTTGTATGATTATAGGTTTGATCGAGGAGTAGGTTCTTGGAGTACGGTTCTACAAATTGTTATAAGATCTTTTAAAGTGATTAGAATTCTTCTCATTAGTTATTTTCTATTATATATTATTTAAATGATAATTTTATTTTTTTATAGAGAAATGATGAATCAGACATGTTATTCTGTTCATTTATAGTAATTTGAATGTGATAGCTATTTATCTTTTACTAGATAAATATTGTTTAGTATATGAGATTATTGAAATTTTATCATTTCAAATTTACTGCTCAAATCCAACTATTAAATAGTTCTATTTGACAAAAGTATATGATCTATTCATTTAGATTCATGAATATTTTATTTTCATGAAATTGATATGAGAAAAGTTTGCAAATGAGTTTAAGCATTTATAATGCTTTTCGCATCAGTGAAAATTGTAAGCGATACTTTTAGCAAAAAATAAGAAAAGTGTTTTAAATGTTAAAAATCCTCAAGAGTCAACTATGGAGTGAAGTGATTTGTTTAAGCCTACTGTATGGTATTGAATGCACCGACCAATGTAAAAGTGACCTTTTGGAAAAAGTAAAATGGTCTTCGGTAGCCTATGGTAGTGCTAGGTACATTCTGCTCTAGGTTGACTTATAGTGATTTGATGCGCATTCCCATGCTACTGGTTGTTAGACCCTAATGCCACTAAGAAAGAACCCTGGAGAGAGGATGAATAGGGTTTATGCTAATCTAATCCGATTTAATGCCAATAAAAACTAATTAGAAAATATCCAAGCAAGTTAGATATGCAACAAGATATATATGCAAGGATATACAAATAAGGGTAAATAAATAAATACAAACAATATAGCAGATAAATTAGACAATGAGTGAATGGCCATAGAGATAAAGAAAATATAAGTGCACAAGCCAAACTCAAACACACAAGAAATGATCAAGGAGTTCGGACCTTTCGTCCTATGTCTCCGTTCCCCACTCCAGGGGAGAAATCCACTATCACATCGGGTTTTCAACGCTCATCTGAAAATGTTTACACTTCACACTCAGTTTTCTAGCTCACTGAAAACTTTACAATCAACACTCTTGCAATCTCACTCTACATCCTCTAAGTATTGGTTTCTAGCCCGTATCTTCCTCAGGTGCTCGGATTTACAACCTCTCCCTAGGCTTTATGACGCAGCGCGAAAGTTGTAGCCTTGGAATCCACCAACGACAATCTTCGAATATATGAAGAGCTTCGAATACACGTAGTAAATAATAAAGAAAAACAAAATTTTATTAATCAAAAGTTATGCCTCTAGGGCTTACAAGACTCTTCTTAAATAGAAAAAAAGAAGACTCCAACAAGGACTCAAACTCTACCAAAAATAGTAAATATTAAAACTCCTAAAAAAGACTGCTTATTACTAGGAAAGTCCACCGGTCAAATCTGAGATCAAATCGGATTTATTTTCTAAACAAAACATACTCCTAAAATATTACTAAATATAGTAAAAAACAGATAAAAATTTAAATATCTCTCAAACCATAAGGAATTTGGCAAAACGAAGAACACAAACCAAACACCACTCCTCGAGATAATCGATTTTCATATATAATTCTTTCAGTTCTAACGTACGGTTTGAAAGTTACAACCGTTTCTTTGAAACTAGTTATTTTCTTCGACCAGGCCCGCATTTGGGCTTACAACTGTCTCACTTTGATATAAACGTATCTGTTGTGTGTTCTATATCATTTTACTGTTAACGTCACTCCCTCTTGGGATGATCCCGTCTCGCACCACACACTCCTCTCTGTGTACAAGTGTATTACAAAGTGTATCCTCACAATGAAAGTTCAATAACTAAATGATTATTCTTTAAACAAGGTGAGAACTCAACTAAGCTCAACTTAAGGTTACAAATTCCACAACTCCAAATTATATTATGCATAAAATACTATAAGTTCAATAGGTTGTATGTGAACAATGAGTACAATCAAAACAAATCAAACTCAAGGTAAATCTAGCTTATGGAAATTATAATCAAAATAATAAATAGCTAGAATGGGTTTAGAAAAACTTCTCTATGATGACAAGAGAGAGATAGATGAGTTGAATGCCCAAACACCAAAGAATGATCTCCTCAAGCTCTTATGAAAGTTTCTTCACAAACAAACTTAAGAACCCTTAAACAAACTTGTAAAACCTTTTTAAAACTTTTCTCTTTTCTAAATTAGGTATGAAGTATGAGGGGTATATATAGGAAACCCAAAAGTGAAGAAGATACCAAGAAAACCCTGTTCGCGTGGAAAACTGTTGCTTTCTTCATTAATGAAATAATTGTCATCTTGAATTACAAAGATCCGGTCTTTTATAGATCCGGTTACAACTAAATCAAAGAAAGAAGAAAAAAAATAAAAATTACAACTTTCCTCTTTTGAACAAATCGCGAGCTCCTGTTTTACGGCCACTCGCTTGTGTGGGTTCTTTGCCTGCGCCGGGGTTGTTTGCCGTGGACCACCGCGCGATCTAGATCCGGTCGGATCTACACGATTATGCGGGTATTATTCCACGAAGGGAATAATAGCCGGGAGGGATTAATCCACCAAGGGAATAATCGCTCGGATCTCGAGATCTAAGACCAAGCTTAGATCTGGAGTATGACCTCGTGTAGATCTCAGATCTGTTCTTTCTTCCTCTCGAGATCCTGCCTTTTCTGACGTGGATGGTCGCCGAGGATCAGATCTGTACGTCCAAGTCTTCAAGTCTTCAAAACTCTGAGTTTGCTCTTCAATCCGGCAGAGTTTCGGCTCTTGAAAAGTTCCACCACCGAAAATGAACATCTCTAGGCCTATTTATAGGCTCTCGGGACAGTGCCCGCAAAAAGAGAAATGTCGGCCACCGTCGGCCACTGTCGGCCACCTCTGGGTGGCCGGCACTGTGCCGAGCCACCCTGAGGTGGCTCGGCCACCCCAGGGGGTGGCTCGGCCTTGGCCGAGCCACCTTGAGGTGGCTCGGCTTTGGCCGAGCCCCCGCGGGCGGTGTTTTCCGACATTTTCGAGTCGTTTTCCGTTGTCTTGTTTGTCCGTGTTTCGGTTGACCTGAGACTCTGATTTGATGATCTGATTTGGCAGTAAGTTGGATTCCTGATTTGGCAGTAAATCCGCTTCTGAGTTCGAGTCCGAAATTGATCTTGATTCGATCGTGATTCGTCCGAGTTTCCCCTTGGTTGGATGACTCGTTGACTCTTCGAACACTTGGCTTGATCCCACACGCGAATGGACGTATTTCGTTACTTGCGTGCGATTCGTCGATCTCGTCGCCTCGTTGGTTCGTCGGTTTGTGCCGAGCTATGCTAGGGGACCTATAAGCAATTTTATATGCCTACAGATACCCCCTCCAAAGTATTTCAGTCTCGTTCTTTTATAGAAGAGTCTAGAATACTTTGGATATGCTTGTCCCAACCTTCAGTCGGTGTAAAGGGATCTTGGAATGACTTCCGTTCTTGATTCCTTCAATTCTCCAGGCTATTCGGTGCTTTGTCGAATGTCTGCAAGAGTTCCGGTGCTGCATTTATTGTCTGACCGTTTGTCGGAATTTTCTGAACTTGAA